GCATCTTTTTAACCTCTGTCCATATTTTTAAAGTGTGTTTGGTCCATTCATTTCCAATTTTCATTTTATTAACAGTTCTGATATCTAGGAAGGGAAGAGTAGATAATTGTATACCTTTAGTTTCACCCCGTTCTATTTGAAGCCATTTTGCTTCCCCATCCCCTCCAATCCAAGTCACAATGGCTGATTATTCCTTACATTTTTAAAACAAATGTTACTCGTTACTCTTGGCTTCGGTTTAATGTTTATAATTATTTATTTCACGTCATGTGCGCCATCCAATGCAGATCATTGGCGCCATCCCCATCTAGTGAAAACTAGTGTAATTGGATGAGTCATATAACGCAACCACTCATTGGTTAGCTAAAGGAAATCATCAGAAGCAAGCAGGTGTTCTTCAAACTGCAAATGTGAATTGTCTATGCCATGCTACAATGTTAGATTCAGGGAAAGATGTTGAAATGTCTGAAAGGTCGGACACAGGCGAGAGTTATCGGGAGACGGAGATGGAGACCAACAAGACCTCCCTCATCCTTGGCCCTATCTATCAAAGGATTTTTTCGAAAAAGGGAGCTTTCAATTCATATAGTGGCATCTTTTATATTTTCATTAGTTTTTGAAGCACATACTTTATCACTTTTACATGAGCTAAGAAGTCAAGTTGATACTTCAAATTTTACCAGAGTGTTTTTAAACTGCAGTATCTATACTTCTACTTGAGTAACATATATGTGTACTTTTGAAACCAATGATCACCTGTATATTCATATTATCATCTGTACAATAAATACCATTTCTTCCAGTTCTGTTTTCTGTTGAGGGTCCATCTAACATGTGGTTTAGAAGATTAGATAAAACCATTTAAATTTCAGAGTCCAAGATGCTTCAGGAACAGGTTTAACTTCAAGCCAACAATGCAGACCAAACTCCTGGCTGCTTGTTCAGTGACTGGATGGTACCTAGTAAAGGGCCACTGACTCCGTACTCCTTGAGCACCCCCAAGAGGGTTCCGAAAGAGGCAGGGTCGAATGCCTTCTCCAGTTTCACAGCTTGCATGCAGGATTTTCCTTTGCCTAGTCAATAATCTGCTCATATAAGTATTATCATAAAACTGCAGCCAAAATGATTTGGGGTTATTAAACATTATTGTTAGGTTTGAAGTTCCCAAAGGTGTTTACATAACAAGTAAAACCATACAGAGGTTCAATTTTGTGATGCTCAGGGACTGGGATGTTACTGGGTTTTCCCAAAAGCATCTGCCCATCATATTTTTTTAGTTCACTTCTTCCAGATTGAATTTGATGTTATTTAATGTTATCGTTTTGTTGAACCTTTTTCAGTTTTACCCTTTACCGCTATTTGACAGAGAGGATATTTTATTTAGTAACAAACCCCTAGATAAAACTCAGAGACCTAATATGCCCAGGAGAAAAGCGGACCATCCTAATACATCCTCTTAATATTTGCTCAACAGAACTTAATTTTTCAAAAGGTCAGCCCTGTTTTATATTTTCAAGTGTTTTCCTCAGCCTCTTCCCCGCACATCAAGACCACATTCATCCCTTCCCGCTGACACCTCTACTGTACTCGACCTGTTACCCTGGTACCTCCTGAGTAAGCGTCCAATAGGTGACTCATCAAGAAGTGCTGTCTGCCAGTGCTGACTGGAAAACAGTGTATTATTTCAGCATCAGTGTATATTTCAGGGTGAGACATGGGGGTCTGCAAACCTAATGGGCTGGTTCACTCAATAAAGCAGTGGCTTGTATAACTTGGATGAAGCCCAAAACATGCTGCATGAAGAAGTGCCTGCTGTTAGTTTTTTCAGAGATAATTTCAGAGGAAGACAATATGGGTGCAAATGGTCCTAATGATAATTTTGTCTTTTTTGGACTGAATCAAAACAACAATAACAAAAAAATATATATATATCTACTTGGGAATTCCTGGAGTTGTTATTTACATTGAATTAGGGAACTGACAATTTAATATTAGTGATCATTTATGTAAATCAATAAGGAGGGACTATGTTCCGACTATGTCGGACTATGTTCCGCTGGAGGAGCTGGCCCAAGTGGCTAAAGAGAGGGATGTCTGGGCCTCCCTACTGAAGCTGCTACCCCGACGACCCGACCACAGATAAGTGCAAGAAGATGGATGAAGATGTCGCCGTTGTGGGACAATAAGAGGATTTTCTAATCCACTCTCTCTCTCTGCAAATATATGTATATATATATATATATATATATATATATATATA